GGAAGCAAATGCCCCCCGGGAACACAGGCGGGCTGGGAAGCGCTGGTTTAATCAGCCGCAAGGGCTAGCGGCCGGCTGGCTTGCGCGAGGGCGCGCGGGGCGCGTGCCACCGGCACCGTCCCGCCGGCGATGGAGAGGGGGGCAGCCAGCGAGGAGGGATTTAGAGGACCGAGAATGAGGGTTATTGCGAGGGAGCACACAGAGCCTGTCAGGATCAGCAGATAAAAACAGCAAGTGCCATTTCCAAGACTTCTGATACAGCGCTAACAGTGGGGAAACCACGTCAAACAAGCCTCCTGCGGTGACGCTGCGTGAGTCCAGGCCTGCCACGCCGAGAAACGGCCTTTGCAGGAAAGGTAGTGCCGGAAACGTGGGTGCCTTGTTTTGCCAGCCATTGAGACTCCTGTTTATAAAAATGCATTTCCCCTTCCACATGTATTTTTCTTAAAGAAAACAAATGCAGACAGATCTAATTACAGCTGCAGCTGTGCTCTGGACAACAGTCAACTCCAATATATTTTTCTGATGCTGTCCCCTCCCAGCTAAAAACAAGCTTACAAATATAAAGTGGGGGAGCAAAGCCGTTGACAAAAACCTCTTTTCTTTGTCGTGTTCGCTAGAAAAGCCGAGGGGGACAGGCGAAGGGACAGAGGCTGGTGTCAGAGCCGCGCTTGGCCGTAGCGCAGCGAGCAGAAACAGCCAGCGGGTTATTTTTGCGCTCGCTAAACCCCGCGTGCGTTAACCAGCCAGAGCAAAGTCAGTCCGGGTACTTGCTCCCGATCACCCCGCCGCATAGCCCGGGTGGAGAAAAGCCTTCGGAGCCGGTTACTGCTCCGTCCTGCACGTTATTCGCGCCAAGAGGATGCGGTGCCGGCCCAGGAAAGGCTCGCGCAGCGCCCGGGCGCGGGCAGGGCGGCTGCGGCGCGGCGAGGAGCGAGCGGGGAGGCAGGCTGACAAGTAAATCAGCTGCTTTCCAGGCCCTAGGCGACGAAGGCCTCAGAAGCGCGCGGGAGGGAAAAAGGGAGCAGAACCGGGT